CCGGGCTCGCCTGTGCCCCCTGCAGCCTGTGTCTGCTCATCTGGCAAAGCAGCTAATCCCGTCTCAGAGACTTCATTCATTCATTCATTCACTCACTCATCCATTCACTCATTCATTCATTCACTCACTCACTCACTCACTCATTCTCTCATTCATTCTCTCGTTCATTTGCCCACCGCTGGCCTCCCCGCCCTCCGAGACCTGGAGTCAGTCACCGAGACCATCTCCTCACCAACAGCGACTTCTTTTTGGAGGCGAAGAGGAGTGTGTGAGCCTCGTTGTTGTTTTATTTTTTTATTATTTTTTTAAAATATATTTTTATTGATTTCAGAGGGGAAGGAAGAGGGAGAGAGAGACAGAAACGTCAATGATGAGAGAAAATCATGGATTGGCTGCCTCCTGCATGCCTTCCACTGGGGATCGAGTCCGAAACCCGGGCATGTGAAAATATATATTATTTAAAAAAAATAATAATAATAAAGAAAGAAATGCTGACTGAGCGCCTCCTGTCTGTGAAACACTTTGCTAAGCGCTGGGACCCGGCTGGGCACCGCCAGACAGAAGCTGCAAACAGAGTGGGAGCCAGAGAGACGCGGCCGGGCCCCCGCAGCACAGATGGGGAGAGACACGGAGGGGCAGAGACGGCGAGAGACAGAGACCCAGGTAGAGACCGAGACACACAGAGAGGCAGGAATTCACAGAGGGTCAGAGGCAGAAACAGCGACAAAGGCACGGAGAGCGGGTCAGAGACCGAGGGAGACACAGAGACCAAAGGAGAGACAGAGACACAGAGAGACAGAGAGACAAGAGGGTCAGAGACCGAGGGAGACAGAGAGAACAAAGGAGAGACAGAGACACAGAGAGACAGAGAGACAAGAGGGTCAGAGACCGCGAGAGACACAGAGACCAAAGGAGAGGCAGAGACACAGAGAGACAAGAGGGTCAGAGACCGCGAGAGACACAGAGAACAAAGGAGAGACAGAGACACGGAGACACAGAGAGACAAGAGGGTCAGAGACCGAGAGAGACACAGAGAACAAAGGAGAGACAGAGACACGGAGACACAGAGAGACAAGAGGGTCAGAAACCGAGAGAGACAGAGAGACAAGAGGGTCGGAGACCTCGAGAGACACCGAGGCACAGAGACGCTCAGACGTGGGAGCGTGAAGGTCACAGCGCCTGGTTGGACTCCCAGCCCCAGCACCTCCCAGCTGTGGCGCCTGGAACCCGCCCCCTCGCCTCCTGTGCCTCAGTTTCCCCAACTGTGAGAGGTACCTGTGTCACTGGGCTGCTGTGAGAACCGGATGAAACACTTCTCAGGTGGCGGGCGGGCTCAGTAAAGCCAGTGCCCCCTCCGCCCCACCGCTGGCCTCCCCGCCCTCCGAGACCTGGAGTCAGTCACCGAGACCATCTCCTCACCAACAGCGACTTCTTTTTGGAGGCGAAGAGGAGTGTGTGAGCCTCGTTGTTGTTTTATTTTTTTATTATTTTTTTAAAATATATTTTTATTGATTTCAGAGAGGAAGGAAGAGGGAGAGAGAGACAGAAACGTCAATGATGAGAGAAAATCATGGATTGGCTGCCTCCTGCATGCCTTCCACTGGGGATCGAGTCCGAAACCCGGGCATGTGCCCTTGACCAGAATCGAACCCGGGACCCTTCAGTTCGCAGGCCGACGCTCTATCCACTGAGCCACACCGGCCAGGGCTCATTGTAGTTTTGATGTCTGAGCAGCTAAATCTAGAAAGAAAAGAAGGATTCCTGTGACCCTCCTTCTACCCACAGAAGCAGCCATCGTGAATTAACATTTCGGTTGAATCTTTCTAGCAATGTCTCCTCGTTTTCCTAGTATGGGCCAGAGGAATTTTGGCTGAATGAGTCAAAACAAAACAAAAATGCCCCTATTTAAAATTCCATTTGCTGACCAGTTAGTTTGCAAGGTGAGCCCGAGGAGGTGGGTCAGACTCGTGTAACAGATACAGAGGGGGCTCAGAGAGGCGGGGTGACTGGCCCAAGGTCACACAGTATTGCCCGCCCTCAGTCTGAGGGTGGGCAGAAGACAGTCGTCTTGGGGTGTCCTGTCCGCTCAGTTCATCTGTCGAAAGGCCGGTCTGGATGCTGTGGTGTGGGGAGCCTCCCCGCTGCCCCCCATGACTGAGTTTGAATCCTGTCTTGGTTACTTTCCATCTCAACCCTGCTGTTCTCACCTGTGAAAAGGGCTCCCTTGCAGGGCGCGGGGACCCAGAGGGCCAGCTGGGCCTGTCCGGGCTCTGGACTGCCCTGGCGGAGGGATGGTGGGCTGAGTGGGGACCCGCCCCCGGCCCAGGCCTGGGCCGCCTCGCCCTTGCTCCACCTTCAAAGACCCTTCGTTCCTGGCTCTGAGGAGGTGGCACCCTGCCCTGTGCTTCCCGTGGGACCTCTGCTGACCTCTGTCACCGGGCCCCCCACAGCTGTGGGGACCCCAGGGGGGCACCGTGCCAGCCAGAAGCTTGGAGTTCCAGGGGGAGGGAGAGTCTGAGGGGAGCAGAGCTCCCAGGTCCCCAAGGGAGACGGGAAGGGAAAGGCAGGGGCAGTGCTGGGGGACAGAGACCCAGGGAGACCCCATGGGGGTGTCGGAGATGCTGAGGGGAGAAGGCGGGCCTGGAGACTGGCTCGGGAGGACGGGACCTGTCGAAGGAGAGGACCCGGCGACCCAGGGAATGTACTACCTCCGGCCTTCGCACCTGCTGTTCCCTGTCTGACATGCTGTTCCCCAGCCACGGCCCTCAACCAAGTCGGCCCCTCACGCCCCCTCCGAGCTCTCCTGCCACTGTCTCCACCCCCCTCTCCTGATTGACTTTCCTCCGTAGCTCTCACCACATGGACGTCCTGAACGGGTTTCCTCTTGGTCTTGCTGACCGACTGCCTGTCTCCTCGTCGGATGGTCAACCCCGTGAAGACAGGGCTGGTCCCCTGTCGGATCCGGGGGGCAGTGCCTGGAAGCGTGCCCAGAACGCAGCCGACGTTCAGTGAATGCTGTTGGTAGGAGAAATGAGTCATCACGGGCTGATGGGGAACGAGTGGCTGGTGGTCCGTGGAGGAGCCAGTTAGATCTCAGGGAGTGGGATGGGGATGGGGATGCGACGCCTGACTATAGAGGGTGAGAGGCCCAGGCTCCGAAGGAGGTGGCAAGGAGAAGAAGAAGACGCCAGAATAGCATCTTCCTCAGTGTCAGGAGGGGAGGGACAGTAATGGAGACCACTGACCGCACAGAAGTGCAGGGGGGGGGGGGTTGGGCATCGGAGGACAGGGAACGGACTTGGAGTGGGATGGGAAGAGGAAGTGGGAAACCCAGTGCCAGCTGGATGGGGCGCTGGGAGCAGCAGCGATCGCACATCCATCCATCCATCCATCCATCCATCCATCCATCCATCCATCCATCCATCCATCCATCCATCCATCCATCCATCCATCCATCCATCCATCCATCCATCCATCCATCCATCCATCCATCCATCCATCCATCCATCCATCCATCCATCCATCCATCCATCCATCCATCCATCCATCCATCCATCCATCCATCCATCCATCCATCCATCCATCCATCCATCCATCCATCCATCCATCCATCCATCCATCCATCCATCCATCCATCCATCCATCCATCCATCCATCCATCCATCCATCCATCCATCCATCCATCCATCCATCCATCCACATCCATCCATCCATCCATCCATTCATCAATCCATCCATCCATCCATTCATCCATCCATCCATCCATCCTTCCATCCATTCATCATCCTTCTATCCATCCATCAATCCATTCATCATCCATCCATCCATCCATCCATCCATTCATCAATCCATTCATCCATCCATCCATCCATCCATCCATCCCATCCATCCATCCATCCATTCATCAATCCATTCATCATCCATCCACTCATCATCCTTCCATCCATCCATTTATTCATCTATCCTTCTATCTTTCCATTTATCCATCCATCCATCCATCTATTCATTCATCATCCATCCATCCATCCTTCCTTCTATCCATTTATCCATCCATCCTTCTATTTATCCATCCATCCATCCATTCATCATCCTTCCATCCATCCATTTATCCATCCATCCATCCTTCCTTCTATCTCTTCATCTTCCTTCCTTCCTTCCTTCCTTCCTTCTTTCCTTCCATCCTTCCATTTATCCATCCATCCTTCCTTCCTTCCTTTTAGCCATCCATCCATCTTTCCATTTATCCATCCATCTTTCCATTCATCATCCATCCATCCATCCATCCATCCTTCCTTCCTTCCTTCTTCTTTTTTTTTTAAAATATATTTTATTGGTTTTTTACAGAGAGGAAGGGAGAGGGATAGAGAGTTAGAAACATCGATGAGAGAGAAACATTGATCAGCTGCCTCCTGCACACCTCCTACTGGGGATGTGCCCGCAACCAAGGTACATGCCCTTGACCGGAATCGAACCTGGGACCCTTCAGTCCGCAGGCCGACGCTCTATCCCCTGAGCCAAACCGGTTAGGGCTGACTTTCATTTAAAGTTAACTGTAAAACCAGGAACAGTGTAAAGTACTTTCCTTTGGTAAGACCACGTCTCAATTTAACTCTTGGAAGCCGAGCGTGGGCATGGAGATACAGCACGTAAGGTGTCCCACGAGTAACTTCATCCTGATCACACACGGAAATGCGGGTATGTTGGATGTATCGGATTAAATAAAACACAGTCCTAAAACGAGTCTCACCAAACAGGTGAGAAAAAAATAAATGAAACATTTTTTACTTAAAAAAAAAATGTGGCTTCTAGGAGGTTGAGGATCACACAGGCGGCCAAGTCCCAGTGAATAGACGGCTGGCCTGGGCCACTTCCGTCCGCTTGGCGTCCTGCCTGGAGATGCCCAGCCTCTCTGGGCGGTCCAGGCAAGGACGCCCAGGAGGGACACTCGCCAGGTGAGGGCCCCGCGTGGAGAAGGCATCGGGTGGAGGGCCTGGTGCAGGCAAAGGCCTAGAGCAGTGGTTCTCAACCTTCTGGCCCTTTCAATACAGTTCCTCATGCTGTGACCCAACCATAAAATTATTTTCGTTGCTACTTCATCACTGTCATGTGGCTACTGTGATGAATCGTGTTGTAAATATCTGATCTGCAGGATGGTCTTAGGCGACCCCTGTGAAAGGGTCGTTCGACCGCCAAAGGGGTCGCGACCCACAGGTTGAGAACCGCTGGCCTAGAGGCTGAAGAGGAGACAGCTGGGAAGTTTCCTCTCCGCTGCCCCAGTGAGCTCCTGGGAAGATGCACGGGGTCACCCACCACCTGCGGGCACCACCGACCACCAGCGGGTCCCCTTCGGCCTCAAACCCCCTCGGGTGGGAAAGGGGCGCAGGGGGCGGTCTCCACGGGCTGTGGGCAGAGAGTGGAGGTGGGGAGCCCGGAGCACGGCCCCCCGCCCGGCCCCATCGGTCCCTGGGCCTGTCTCTGGGCCCCAGGATGTGCTATTTTGCTCTTGGAGTTCAGGCCTGGGCAAAGGGAGGTCACTGGGTCATGAGGTCTTATTTCCACAGAATCCAGGCCATTGTCACCTTCAGAGCCTGACCTTCCCATGAAAAGCTAGTCATTGCTGGGGATTCTGGGAGGCTGAGGAGGGCAGCTCTGGCTGCTTAGAGGCAGGTTCCCAAGAGGGCAGAGCCTGGGGGCAGGGCTCCCAGAGCCGGGAGCCGGACAAGGAATCTGAATGGAGGTGAGGGGACAGGGCTGGAGCTGGGGGCCTGGACACTGGGTCTGAGGGAGGAGGGGCAGGGGGCCTGGACCCCTGGGTCTGAGGGAGGAGGGCTGGGGGCCTAGACTCCTGGGTCCGAGGGAGGAGGGGCTGGGGGCCTAGACTCCTGTGTCTGAGGGAGGAGGGCTGGGGGCCTGGACTCCTGGGTCTGAGGGAGGAGGGGCTGGGGGTCTGGACCCCTCGGTCTGAGGGAGGAGGGATGGGCTGGGGGCCTGGACTCCCATGACCCAGACAAAGATGAAACTGGGACACTGTGACATCCGGACCTGGGAAGGGGGTGGGTCGTGGGTGTCTGGGTCACGGGTGGGGGTGCCAGTGTCTCCGAGGCCATGGGGGCCCCTTTGAGGAGGAGAAGACCTGCTGGGTGGGGTGGGAGGAGGCCGCTGACACCTGCGAGCCGGCACGACGGTCCCCCCGCCTCCCCTCTAATCAGCGGGTCCATCTTGGGGTGCGCAGGTTGTAGAAACCTCCCCTGCTCTCCACCCTGATTACTCCATCCCCATCGAGGAGCCTGCCCCAGGGCCGATACTGAGACTGCAGCCCCAGCCCCACCCACACACTCACAGGCCCCCCCCCCCACCGGCTC